TCTTTTTTTTTTTTTTTTTTTCTTCAAGATAGGGCCTCCCAAGTGCTGGGATTAAAGGTATGTGCCACCACACCCAGCTGCTCCTGTTAATTTAAATGATGCCGCTACATTAGGTCTTTTCAGTGTCCTGCATGACCATGCAGCTTGTTGGCTGCTTATTGAAGAGTTTGTGTCTGTTCCTGTTCAGCCTCAGAGATCTCCTTAGTTGCAGGCACTGGGTATAGAATAAAGGGGAAGGAGTAAGAATTGTTTGGAAAACCAAGAGACAATTATTTTATTGTTTGTTTGTTTGTGACAGGGTTTCTTTGTGTAGCTTTGGAGCCTGTCGTAGGACTCACTTTGTAGACCAGGCTAGCTGAGAACTCAAAGAGATCCACCTGCCTCTGCTTCCCCAAGTGCTGGGATTAAAGGTGTGCGCCATCACCACCTGGCCATCACCAAGAGACAATTCTAATAGAACTCTTGGGAGGAAATGTGATCTATTACAATGTTTTCTATATTACTATTATACTATATGAAAGAGAAATTGCATTGATTGTTATAACTGAGTCAAAAAGAAAATGGGCTTATGACAAGTCTGAATTGCTGTAGACTATTTAAAGTAATATACATATATATATTTTGTATTTCAGTATATGACTAGAATTGAAGTATCTTTGTCTAAGTGTTTTAGCCAGTTGTGATTTTAATTTAAAATTTTTTGCTTATGTGTATGAGTGTTCTGCCTGCATGTATGTCTGCACCATGTGTGTGTGGTGCCTGTGGAGCCCAGAAGGGATCAGATACCCTGGAACTAGCTGCATATAGTTGTGGGTGCTGAGAACGGAACCCAGATTTTTTGAAAAAGCAGCCAGTGCTCTTCACTACTGAGCTATCTCTTCCTATCCCATTATGATTCTAATTGGCCTTTGATATTTTAACATTTGTGATAGAGGTAGAAGATTTTACAGCCAGGAATTTTCTAAAACACAAAATTTTTACATAGTAAATGCTTAATTAAGGCTGTTATTCTTACTATATATCAAAACCTTACAGTTACTCACTTGAAAACAAAAATGTATGAGTTTAATCTTAACTTTTTTCAAGGAGTTATGTTGCTAATAACTTGCTTTGAAATTGTTCCACTTAAAATGTGATTGTGGTATGTGCCTAAAGCATGTATTCTTGTGCAGAGACCTTCTCTCTGATGTAGACTTGCAGGGAGACTGTGAGCCCCGGGTTGCATAGAACTGGCCTTGCTTTAGCTTCCCGAACCTCTTCCACGTTCAGATTAGTGGGTAGGCAGGTAATGAATGGAGTCTCTTCTCGATTCAAGTTTAATTATCTTTCATTCTCCTTAAAAACAATACCAGTATAGGCCTTTTAAGGAGAGGAGAACTATGTTCTATAGTTTAATTTTTCTATAGGTATTATTAGGGTTTTGGAATTTAGAAGTTGTGTATTTTCTTAAATTGTTGATTCCACTACCACTCTTTAAATTTTTAAGTGTATTTTATACATATGAGTGTTTAACCTGCATGTATGTATGTACGTGATGTGCATGTCTGGTGACTGTAGAGGTCAGAAGAGGATGTTAGATGCCCTGGGGCTGGAGTTACAGGTGGTCGTAAGGTGCCAATGTGGGTGCTGGAGATTGAACCTGGGTCCTTTGCAAGAGTAACAAGTTCCCTTAACCACTGAGCCAACTCTCCAGCCTCCCAAACCTTTTTGTTTGTTTGTTTGTTTGTTTTTGTTTTTCGAGACAGGGTTTCTCTGTGTAGTTTTGGAGCCTGTCCTGGATCTCACTCTGTAGACCAGGTTGGCCTTGAACTCACAGAGATCCGCCTGGCTCTGCCTTCTGAGTGCTGGGATTAAAGGTGTGCGCCACCATGCCTGGCTTCAAACCTTTTAAGGTCAATCTTGCTATGTAGTTTGGGCTGGTCCAAGATTTAGGATATTCCTACTTCTCAAATGCTGGGATTACAGGCTTTTTCACCACCACGCACAGCAAAATGTGCTGTTCTCTATACTAGATTTCAAAGAAAAATTTTGATGTTGTACTCTAATAATTTTTAGTACTCTTATTACATCTCAAGGTATAGCAATAAATAAGTGTGGATCTTCCTTTAGCTTTTTTAATTAATTAAATTTATTCATTTATTTTACATCCCAGCTGCAGTCAATCATCTGTAAGTTTATTTCCTGAAGGAGACACACATGGACATACATGTATATGTGTGTGTATATGCATATATTACCTTTAAGGTACTATAATTAAGGGACGATGGTGAGCACCACCATTACATTGTTCTTACACAGCCCTGCCTGCTGCTGTGAGGATGGCTTACTAACTTTATTAGTATTTTAACAAATGAATTTGCTAATTTGTTACATAATTTACTAGCTATTTGTCTACTCAGGTTACTGCAGTTTAAAAGACCAGTGAAGTTTACATTATTGTGCTGTTTACTTTTAAAAACTTTAGGCTATATTTATTTCTGTTCTTTGCCTGTGTTAGAGTAACTGTCATTCTCCAGCCTATCATGCACAGAATTAAAAGAATTTATACAAAGCCATCCCTTAGTAATCAGTTGCTCCCTTCAGTTGGAGTAGTTCTCAGTAGGAAATGAGATAGTGAGATGAGTTGCTGACGAAGATAAGAATTGAGAAGTTTTCAATCTCTTTTGTGCCCCTGAAAACGTTTGCTCCCATATTGCATTGAGAATAGGTAAGTTCATTGGGAAGTTGTATAAGGTAATTTCTAGCTATAAAGTTCTAAGACCAGATTATAATTCTCTACAACATTGGTTATTTATGTAACATTTTTGAGCCCATGCGTACTGTGGGTCTTAGAGAGGTCTGGTGGGGTGGCGGATTGTGGGTGGTGATGAACAAGATTCTTAGAGATTTTACTTGTTTCCTCTCCCACCGTTCTAACACTCCTGCATTTTCATTATAGTAGTTTAGATTAGTGTGGGGATGTTAGGAGTGGCTCGGTTTCTTTCCTTCTTTCTCCTAGCCAAGGAAGTGTCGCCTGGGGATGCTGGAGGAGAGGCTAGTTCCGATGGGATCAAAGGCACGAAAAGCAAAGAACCCTATTGGCTGCCTTGCTGACAGGTGTAAATCAGGAGTACCCATCAATATGGTTTGGTGGAACAGAGTCACAGAAAACAATTTACAGGTAAAAATAATTTTTATTAGAAATTTTTTGAAAGTGATTCTTGGTTTCTTTCTATATCTGTGGGTTGATGGATATGAAAAGATTGTATGGCTTAGCTGATATACTTTAAGTCATTAAAATTTTTCTAAAACCAAAGCAAGGTCAGTAGCCTGTTAACTAGCTGGTTAACCAGATGGTGTGTGTTTGTTTTAGACAGGGTCTTTCTAGTAGCCCTGTCTCCTGGAACTCTCAGTGTAGACCAGGCTGGTCTCTGCCTCTAGAGTGCTGGGACTAAAGGTGTGCGTCATCACATCTGCCTCACAGATGATTTTTGTTTGACTTTTTACTTTTCCTGCTTGAGAAGGTTTATACGCCCCCCCCCATTTTTGCATTGATGTGTGTGCATATGTGTGCCTTGGGGCACATGTGTAGGTCAGAGGACAACCCATGGAGCTCGCCATATGGGCCCTGGGACTCAAATTAGGTCACTAGACTCGGCAGCAGGCACCTTCATCCAGTGAGCCATCTTGTCAGCCTCATCTCTCTCTCTCACTAGCTCTGTAGACCAGGCTGGCCTGGAACTCACAGAGATCCGCCTGCCTCTGCCTCCTGAGTGCTGGGATTAAAGGCGTGTGCCACTACCACCTGGCTATATTTCTCTGTTTTTATATTAACTTTTTCCTTTTCAATTTTGTTAATATTTGAAAGTATTATTTTCTTTTTCTGGGTGTTAAATGTTCAAATCCAGGTCCTCAGACATGCAGAATCTATGCTTAATCGTTGAGCTATATAATATGCGCAGCCCTAGTTAAATTGTTTTTTAAATAAGCTGTATTACTCAGGATGCTCCTCTGAAAAGTTATGTTGTGGATATTTGCTGTAGACATTTATATTCACATTGAATTTGAAACATAGGAATCTTCGTATGTTTTCTTTCTGTACTTCCTTGTTTTTCTTTTTTGAGATAGTCTTAACTTTGTAGCCCAAGCCGGCCTTGAATTTATTCTAAGTCATGGTTCTCCTGCTTCCACATTCCTTTTGTACATTTGTTTTTATTGGAAATAAAAATTACATGTAAAGATTTTCAAGAAACCAACTTCAGTAGTATGTTATTATATATTTCTTATAATATGTCTGTAGAACAATATATTAAATAATGAAGAGGAATTTTTTTTTTTTTTTTTTTTTTTTTT